GAAGAAGAGAGAGAACTCTACAGCATAGGCTGGAGTATATGCATGCCAGCTGACTTTCCAGGGAGGGGTAGAGAAATGAAACATTAGGTCATGAAGAAGTAGGCAGGCCATGAGACTGGAGTTAAATTCCTTCCTCCCTCCCCCGCTCCCTTCTTTCCTTCATTCAATAAAGGTTTCTCGAATGCCTACTACATGCCCCTCAACATTTGTGGGGCCTGGAGCAGGTGTCAAAATGGCGCTCACAGGCCGTACATCTAAATATTAAAAAAGTGGGAAATCGAGTAAAGAAGCGTTAAATATGTTGTCTTCTCCCACGTCAACAGAGAAATCTCTAAAATAGTAAAATTAAAAAAAAAACAAACACTGTTTTTATGTAACAAAGTTTGGAAAATGTCAAAGTTGACCGAGTTTCATTATTGCAGATGTCTGAATGTTTTTCGATGACACATAGCTCATAAATTATTATACAGATAAAAAAGAAATAAAATTTATTTTTCTTGCCTTAATTTCATTCGTCAATTGGGAATTTTACATAATTTGTGGTTTTTGACAGTACCGACGTCAAAGTTTAAAAATTCAAATATGATTGTACAGTCCAACTATACACAATTTGTATGTAGGTAAAATAAAATGTAAATGTAAGGTTGTCGAATTCTTAAAAAATTATTTTTTATGTTTTTTTAGAAAAGTTATTTTTCTTCTAAAAGTTTCAAAATTATGTATTAAAAATTTAAAATTATAATCGACAAATATCAAATATCTAGTTTTTTTAGATATACCTGATACTTTTTAATTTTAGAAATTTCATTAAATTCTATTAAATATTTTTGTAATAATTAAAATTGTTTGCAATTCTGCGGTTCAACATCCTTTTAATTGATTCTAGTAAAGAGCCCGTATTACGGCTCTTATATTACTTACTCCATAAATGCATAAGAGTATTAGAGACTATTTGACATTGTAAAGTCTTCCTCAGACTTCATGTGCAACTGTTGTGAATTCCATGCTAATTCACAAGGACTTCTGGAACCACAAATGGGGACAGAAATAGGTTGGAGAAAATCGACCCTTGGGATTTCTGGGAAACTATACTTTCCATGATATTCTTGCATAGCGATAGATTATGCAGTAATCTGCTCCCTCCTGGGTACGCGGGATTTGATGAATGAGCGTGCCTTTCCCCACCCCCAGCTCTTCTGGGGCTCACGCTCTCCCTGTTCTCCTTGGCAGGAGCACAACACAGAGACGCTGTCACCTTGTGTTTCCAAGACACGGAACAGGAACTGTGGGGTGTGTCCCCGGGGACCAACTGTCATCCCCGAGGGCGATGGAGCCACAGAAGAGTTCTATGGCTCTGTACCAGCATGGAGTGCCAGATCTCCAGTGACAGAGGTGCCTGCTTGTTAAGTGTCCATGTGTGCGCGCGTGCGTGTGCGTGTGTTTGTGCGCGGGCGTGATCCGTGGGGCCCTGCCCTGGACAGAATGTATTTTATTTAACAGTGCACTTAGTTTGATGTGTAACGTCGAAATATTTGGACACGTGGGATGTAAGCCTCCATTCGCACTTTCGTCCTGGATGCCTGGTGTCGGAGGTGGTCTGAAGGTGGAGGTGAATATTTATGAATCGTTAACATATAAGCAGTATCACGCGGAGAAAGTGTGAGCTGGGGAGAGAAGTAAGCAATTTGATGACTGCTACCATCCCACCTACCCTTAAAATGTGTGCTTCCTTCTCTCCCTATTCCGCTCTCTACTTTCTCATTTTCTACTCATTTTTTTTTTCTTCTAATTCCTTTATAATCTTCTCCTTCCCAGGCCTCAAACTCCTATTGGCATCGAAAGCATCATACGTCTCCAACAACAACCACTACTTGGAATGTACAGATGCTTGGGGTAGGGGCGGGGACTCTGAGTCTTGAAAGAATGAAAGAATTGATCCGTCAGGAAATAAAAAGTACAAATAGTGAGATTGCATTAGATCACCTCTAAGACGTGTCCTGGGATGACAGCAGCACATCTTATAAAAAGCTCATTCTGAGGGACTGTTTTTCTTTCTCTTTCCAGATACTGCCTTTTATCTTGTTTGGAGCAGTTGAACCTTCACGCTCTTTAATCTCAAAGCATACGCACTTGAGACATTCAATATTAGACCCACAGTCAATGAAAATGAAACGAAATTTATTCCTTGGCTTTGGGTGTGATGTTTACAAAGTGACAAAATGTATTATTGCCAGAACTGCTGAGGTGTCGATGTTTGCTCGGGGTTATCTCTGACTTAGCCTTCAGAGAAGAGATGAATTTTTTGCTACATTTGAAGGAGCAGAACCCTAAAATGAATAAAGCAACATGATACACATTTTAAAGCAGATGAAACTTGTACCAGACATGCATCTAGTTCACCCTACAATCCGTGTCAGCTTCTCGTGAGGATTCGCTCAAACAGGAATGCAGCAACGAGAACATTTAACAAAATTCTTTAGACACCCGAATTCAGCGGTGCCTGGCCTCCAGTAGAATAATTCTGAAGTGGTTGATTTTGTTTAACTGTAGGCTGGTAAAACTAATCTTGAGAATCTTTTAGCTCAGTAAAGACTTTTATGTCACTGGCCCAGCTTGAAAAAGTGAGCTAATTGCTGTGCTGGGAAACTACGTATGTCACTTTCAGGGGAGGTAATATCTCTGCCCACAGAATATCCAAAATGTAGTAACTAGCACCTAGTTTAGTGAGAATATATTTTGGTTAAATGCAATGCTGCAACGTTAAGCCGGTGTGCCACATGTAAATGAGGAGGCCACTTGGTTAGGTCACGACTTTGAAAGTGTTAGGTGATCGGCAGTGTAGTTCTACATTCAGCCACCCCCCAAAGTCAGTGCAGGGGATCCCACAGTTACCACAGGTGGAATGGCTCTCAGAGGACTTTGAGAATTTGAGAATAAATTCTGTAGACAGCCCAAGCATTTTTCTCCTCCGTTGCTCCTTGCTCTGGGTTGTTTTATGGCTGATGGGTGTGGAAAAGAACATTTCAAAACATTAAATCTCATAATAACAAGGACTCTTTTCTTGAGAACTCTGTGCCAGGCACTGAGCTAAGTACTTCGCGTTCATTGTCTCATTTACACCTCCCTAAATGAGGACGAGGTACCGTGTTTCTATATCTGTAACGTGTGTTTGGAAAAATCGAGACTTAGGGAGGTTAGGAAATTTGTCCAAGGTCACACGGCCATCAAAGGGCATGAGCCTAGATTCTATCCAAGCCAGCCTGACACCAAGCTTGGGCTATCCTCTGCTGCCCCCATCACACGGGGAACGGGGCCATAACATTGGGGCAAGCAAATGAAAACCACTTCGCATCTACTAGGATGGTTATAATAATTTTTTTTCAATTAAAAAAAAAACCAGGTCTACGGCCATGCCACCCTGAACAAGCCCAATCCCTTCTGATCTCGGAAGCTAAGCAGGGTCGGACCTGGTTAGTATTTGGATGGGAGACCACCTAGGAAGACCAGGTGCTGTAGGCATAAAAAAAATAAAATTAAATTAAAAGTAGGCCATTGTAAGCTGACAAGGTCCTTACAATCTGTGAGGTCAACCAAGGGTTGTCTCGCCTAAAAAAAAAAATAATAAAATAAAATAAATAAATAAACAGAAAAATGACAAGCAGGAGCAAGGATGTAGAGAAGTTGGAATCTTTATACATTGCAGGTGGGAATGTAAAATGGTGCAGCTGCCGTGGAAAACAATCTGGCATTTCCTCAAAAAAGTGAAACAGAAGTACCACGTGATGTGGCACTTCTGGTCCTAGGTGTCCAACTAAGAGAACTGAAAACATGCCCACCCACCCCGAGACTTGTCCACAGACGTTCATAGCAGCATTGTCCACAACAGAAAGTGGAAACAGCCCGAATGGCTGTCGACTGAGGGCTGAACGAAGTGTGGTGTACCCACGCAGTGGCATGTCATTCAGTGGTCAAAGGGACGAAGCACGGACACACCCTGTGACTCGGACAAACGCTGAAAACACGATGCCGAGTGAAATAGACCCGAAGACCAAATACTGTATGAGTCCATTTATACGAAATATCCAGAAGAGGCTAGAGATCGGAAAAGATTCATGGTTATCGGGGACCGGGGGAAGGAGGACTGGGAAGTGACTGCCCATGGGGATGGAGTTTCTTTCTGGACCAATAAAAATGTTCTGGAATTATACACCAGTGATGGTTGTGCCACATAGCGAATATACTAAAACCCACTGAAATGCACACTTTAAAATGGTGAATTTTAGTTATGTGAACTACACCCGAGTTTTCAAAAAAAGGCAACTTCAGGTCAGATCCAGGAGGGCCTTGTAACCCGGCCGTGTAAATTCCACGCGTCCCTTTGTCTCTGTTTCCCTCCGTTTCTCCCTCCTCCTCCCCCGCATCTCACCCGCACTACGAGGAGCACTGTATAAAGGAGTCAGGTCGTCCTGAGTTCCAATCCCCTCTCCCCATTCTGCTGCAAACCCGGCAGGATGAATCACCTAGGTGTCCTCATTTGCATAATGTTCTAATAATAAAAAAATAATAGTAATATCGACTGCTAGAGTTCTTCTGAAGACAGTATTCATCACAGTGCTTCGCGGATGCCTGCTGCATCCGCTGCGTTCACAGATCACAGCTCCAGCATCACTAGTATAGGGTTATGGGGCAGCATGTGGCACACGCGCTGGGCCTTACCTTGATGAGGCTTCCAGCCCTTAAATCTATTTTAAGAACTACAGAAAGTGACAAAATCCTTTTCCCAAAGTCCTCTGAGAAAGATCCCAATGGTAGTATGATGCTTCCAAGAAATGGTATGAAGTGCCATTAAGGCGGGGCGGGGATGGGAATTTTGCGTGAGCAAATATCAAATGATATCACAGAGTTCACAGAGTTGTGGTGGGGATTTCCCACGAGGCCCCGCCCCGGCTGAATCACTCAGCCGTCTCTGTTTGTCTACTAACCTTGCTCCCTCTGCAGAACGTAGAGGCTCTGAAGATCAAGGAGTGGAAAGTTGTCCACCAGCCCTGACATCTCATCTCAAGGTTTGTCTGTTTGGGGCAGACGGGGGAATCGAGATGGAGTGAGGATAGCAGCTTTGTTTTCTTTGTATTTTTCTAGCCTTTTTATTTTTCCTTCTAACATCTATTCCACAGCCCATTAAATAAAGATTAAGAGTGTAAAGAGATTTTTTTTTTTTACTCCTTAGTTTTGTTACTATACGAGCTTCAGATCTCAAAATGGGCAAGTACGTGTCTATTAAGAAAACAGTGTCAAAGAGTTGAGCAGAGAGGCATTGTAACGTTTTAGCAATTAGGTGTTGACATTTCCATATGCTGTTCAGATAAGTAGCAATAATGAGATATCTTCTCATTGAGCTGACCTATTAGAGGCCACTGACAGATTCTCTTTTTAAGGACTATATTTCAGGGGCAGCAAGTAACCAGCATTGTTGCAATCTGGATGCTAGTACTAAGTATTCATGAAAGTCCCCAAAAGTTCTTGCTATTGTTATTTCTGCATATTGGCAAAACACGCTGGAAAGCGCACCCTTGGACTTTGGCAAACGTTCATAAAGCTGTGCGCTTAATTGTGTAATTGTGTGTCTTATCATAAAGGTTTCTATGAATTTGCTATCTTTTACATAATATTCCTTTGCTAATTGTTCCTGAGAAACCTCAAGATCTGGTTTTGTGGAATTGTATTAATAATGGCTGAAATGAAGATAAGTCTGAATGGAGAAACCATCTCATCTTTGGAAATGTTCACTTTTTGCAGGGCGGTATTTGTGAAATGGCAACTTTGATTTAAACCCTTTTTTTTTTTTTTTTGGAATCTGCTTTGCTAGTGTCATATGTGTGCAAGGCTTCATCATGAGAAATGGTTATTGTGGCATAGTGGCTACTGTCCTGGTGGTCATGAATTTTGAGAGGATAAAGTCAATGCAGGATTCCTGTAGGAACTGTCCAGCTGGTAAGAACCAAATTGACATGTGTGTTTGATCTGTTCTGTTGAAAACATAGATCAGTTGGTCAGGGCTCTGTTTTAACGAGCTTTTATTCATTCATTTACAAATATTTCTTGGATGCTACATCTTAGCTGTGTGGACACAGCCATGTCACTTAATCTCTTGTGCCTCCGCTTTGTCATCTAGGGGTAATAAGAGAACCTATTTCATAGAGTTGCTGGGAGGATCATATATGGGCTTATGACAGTGCTCATGGCGAGACCGCAATAAATATTAGTTTTGTATGAGAGGAGCTGAGCTCAAACTGGGGTACAGCAGGGAATAAACAGGGGTCAGCAAGGGGAACAGAGTGGGGTAAGGCAGACACCTTTAAGTATTAGTGTACCAATCAATGAAGGACATCGGTCTCTTCTTGAATTCCGTCATATTGATCTCCTGGATCCATCAAGAGAAATCACTGTTTTATTCAATAGATAAAGGAAACTGTCTTCTTTCTGTGGATTGATTTGTTGCAGTATCTATACTTGGTTATTCTTAATTCTGTGATTACGCCAAGGGCAATCTTGCAAATGTGTAACTTTAAAAAGTCAGACTACAAAATAAAGTCTATCACCGTGACACCTGAAAAACTAATTGTCGTTTCACATTCTAGTTTTCTTGTAAACTTCACAATGCTTCGGGTGACGATAGCCCTTTGTCAAACACATGCAGCTGTGATCTACCCTTTTTAGGTACTTACTGTGTGAAAAACAAGATTCAGACTTGCAGTCGCTGTCCTTCAAATAGTTTCTCCAGCACAAGCGGACAAAAGGCCTGTGACATCTGCAGGTCGTGCGAAGGTATGATTTTGAAAGTGTATTCTTCACTCTGATACGTTTCAGGAAGACAAGCATGTATTCCCTAGTGTATTGATCTCTACTGAAAGTCTTACACGTCAGAGATGCCATTGCCTTTTGTCAATGGGCAGATACAGTTAAATAATTTACTGTGAGAGCGATTATTTGTGGAATGAGCTTTTTAAACATCAGAGGAAACCTCTATTTGACGAGAGAAAAATTTTCGTTAGCAAAATATAAAAGTCTTCTATTGGGATTTAAAAGCAAACTTAATACTCCAAGGTCACTGGGGACGTTATGAGTGAGTACGGTTTTTTATTGTAGAACATACATTTGCTTTCTAGATTTGGAGGTCGAGTGTAACATAATGCTGGGGGATTTTGTAGGTGTTTTCAGGACTAAGAAGGCGTGCTCCCCCACCAGCGACGCAGAGTGCGAGTGTGTCTCAGGATTCCACTGCCTGGGGACGGGATGCAGGATGTGTGAACAGGACTGTGAGCAAGGTCAAGAATTAGCCGAAGAGGGTAGGTGTGCTCTTCTTCAATCTAGTTCAAGTTTGCCATCTAGGCACAGGTCATCAGCTTAGGTCTTGGTCCTTTGAATATAGACGATGATATAAATTTGTAGAATCTTCAAGTAACAAGCAATGGATCCCTGAGTCAAGTATATGATATTTACAAACTATTTTTCAATCAGTAAAAATAATTTGAAATTACGGCATTTGTTATTCACCAGGATCATGCATTTTCATACTTTCTCTACATACAGATGCAATGCTGTGTACAATTAGGAAAAAACTTCAGTCTACTTAGGGTTTTGTTTCAGGAACTGCTGAACGATCTGTATAGATTGAATTAAGTTACTGACTTTATTATGTGATTATGTTCATCACAGGGAAAGTTACAAAACGATGCAAATTCTTCCTTTTTTACTATTGCTTTAATTTTTATGCAAGGTTGTAAAGACTGCTCCTTTGGGACATTTAATGATCAGAAAAATGGCATCTGTCGACCCTGGACAGAGTACGTATAATTTTCTTTTGCTTGCAAAATAAAGAATCTGGGTTAACTCTTTTAAAGACAAAGAATGTTATCATTGAAACGTTTTAAAAACCTATGAAATGCAGGCATAGAATCACATGCTGCAGGCAGTGTGGGGACAGTAGGAGGTAACAGTGCCTTGAAATGCAAAGTGGGCGTTTTCTCCCGAAATAGTGCCCAGGGCGTCCGGGCAGAGTTGCTGGGCAGACTTTGTCACTGTCTGCCCCAGCTGTTCCCCTGTTCCCTTCCAACCCTTTGCTGCCTCTAATCTTCCCTCTTTGATCGGCTCATCCTTAAGTCTTCAGTGCCAGCACTGAGAAGGATAAGAAGGTAAAGTCTGTGTCCTGCCCTCTAAAACGGAACATGAACTTGGGCAAACAAAGCCGTCATGGGTAGCAAAAAAGCCAACTGTGTACTTGGGAATATCCTTTTGACTTGCGACCCGGACCACAGCTACTCACGGTGTGATCTGGGGACAGGTGTGGGTCCAAGGACAGCTCGTTGTCTGTCCGCAGCAAGAACACTACAGGCATTAAGAATAAGCATTTAGGAACTTTTTTTTTTACCGCCTACAGCACCTGGTATTCCGAGGTGGTCTCCCATCCAAGTACTAACCGGGCCCGACCCCGCTTAGCTTCTGAGATCAGATGAGAGGGAGCACGTTCAGGGTGGTGTGGCCATAGGCATTTAGAAACTTTTAAGGCAAGTTTGCGGTCACTTGTGTCTGTCAGCTCCGATAATAAAAATTTAGGTCTTGCCTTTTAAATGCTGTTGTTCTTTTTTCATTCGATTTTCTTACTAGAAAATCATTTTTATTATTATTTTACAATTACATTCTTATTATGTGTTACAAAAGTATTGGTTCAGAATAGACTGGAAAGGGTTTTTTGTTTTGTTTTGAAAAGGTCTTTTGACATAAATCGTTTGGAGTGGTCAAATGAGTCTGAACGGAAAGTGGTATTGAACTTGGCTTTGGAGAATGGGTGGGTTTGGGTTATATAAAGGGGCAGGGGAAAGGGACATAAGGATAATGATGATGATGGTGATGGTGGTGATGGTGATGATGATGATGGTGATGGCGGTGATGATGATGGTGGTGATGGTGATGGTGGTGATGGCGATGGTGGTGATGGCGATGGTGGTGATTATGGTGGCTACCATTTATTGGGAGTGAATCAGGCACACGAAAGTGTCACAGGTCATTTTTTCACTCTTCATGACAGTCCTGGGAGTGCGTAGATCTTATTTTGCAGGTAAGAACCTGAGGTTTAGAGAGATTTCATAACTTGTCCAACGTCTTTCTGCAAAGGGACAGACCCACACATCTTTGTGACTAGGCCGCTTTATTCAGTGGAAAATGTTAATGTTTTTAATTAGATTTATCTGTACCTGCTTAATTATCTGAACTGTTTTCATTGGACTCCCTAAGCTGTTCTTTGGACGGGAAGTCTGTACTTGTGAATGGGACGAAGGAAAGAGATGTGGTGTGTGGACCAGCCTCGGCTGACTTCTCTCCAGGTACACCCTCCATTACCATGCCTGCCCCTGTGACACAGCTAGGTAGCTATTTTGTTGCTGTTAGATCAATGTGACTGTATCACAGCCATTCCCGTTGGAATCTAAATCACCCCGATACCTCGAGGTCTTACATCTCTGCCAACAACAGGTGCCTCCAGCATGTCCTCCCTTTTTTATCCTGACATCAAGGGACCCACCGATTTGGGGGGGTATTTGTCATTTAGTTTGTCACTTTGTCATGAACACATTAGTAAGCAGAGCAAGGCGAGGCTTGACCCAAAAAGATACTCTACCTTTGTAAAGCCAAGTAAAGGGGATTATGGAGCCTCATGTATTCTATATACAATGTAGAAAGGTCAACTAGAGATAGGCCAAAGCACTTAATTTTTGCGAGCCTCTGAGAAAACGATTAAGATTTTTTTTAAAAAAAGTTTTCTTAATGTGCAGGCAAGCTGACTAAGGTAGCTGGTTGGAGATGCCCAAAGTACCACTTCTTGGGATTAGGGGTTTACAGATGTGAATATAAATGTACGTCTACTTGCAAAACTGTACTGCTGCACGCATTTCTCCATCTGCTCTGTTTCAGAAGGTCGCACCCCGCCGATCATCGTCTCCTTCCTCACACTGATGTCGACGGCCGTGCTGTTCCTGGTGTTCTTCGCGCTTCGTTTCTCTGCTGTTAAACAGGGCAGAAAGAAATTCCTGTGTATACTCAAGCAACGTAAGACTAACGCAAATGTGTCAGATACGTGCTCTCTTGACAGTGCAGAAAAGTTTCACGTACCACTCATGGGGTTACGTTTTAGGGAACCGTCATACGTTATTAAAACCAGGCAACCGACGTTGGTGCGTTGTGTGTGAAGACTTGTGTATCATTTTAGCACGCGTGTAGATTGGCGTAGCTACCAGTACACCCCAAACACAGAACTATTCCATCACCACAAAGACCTCCCTCCTGGCAGACTTTCAAAGTCACATCACTCCCTGTCCCCTTATCATTCCTACCCCACAGCACCCATGAATCCGTTTTCTATCTTTACAATTTTGTCATTTCAAGAAGGTTATATAAAAGGAATCACACGCTATATAAATAGATCATAAATATGTGACCTTCGAGGCTGGCTTTTTTCCACTCAGCTCAGTGCTGTCAATCTGTCCGGGTCGCTGTGTGTTTCTGTAGTTCACCCTTTTTCATTGCTGACTAGTATTCCACGGTGTGGTTCTACCACAGTTTGTTTCGCCATTGAGGGACATTTTGGTAGTTTCCAGTTTTTGACGATTGCGTGTAAAGCTGCTGTGAATCATCAGGAACAGGTTTTGTGTGGACATAAATTTTCGTTTCTCTGAGATAAATGCCCAGCGGTCAGTTGCTAGTTCCCATGGTAAGTGTATGTTCAGTTTTTTAAGAAACCACCAAACTATTTTTCCAGGGGCTTGTACCGTTTAACATTCCACCAGCAACGTATGAGCGATCGAGCTTCTCCTCGCGCTTGCCTGTGTTTTTTTTTGCCACGATTTCTTCTTCCACGTGTTCTAATAGGTGTATGGTGACAGCTCCTTATGGTCTTACCTTGCCTTTCCCTAAAGGTTAGCCATCTTCCCATGTGCTTATTTTCCATCTGGCCATCTTCAGTGAAATATTCCTTCGTGTCTTTTGACCATTTTCCAATTGAATTATTTTGCTTGTTTTACTGTTGACTTTTGAGAGTTCTTTATATCTTCTATGAGTCCTTTGTCAGCTATGTGGTTGGCAAGTATTTCCTCCCAGTCTATAGCTCTCCTTTTCATCCTCTTCACAGGGCCTGTTACAGAGAAAAGGTTTTCCATTTCGATGAAATCCAATTTGTCTTTCTTTAATTTATGGAATCATGCCTAAGAAGGCTTCACCAAGTTCTAGGTCACAAAGATTTAGATTTTCTCCTATGTCGTCTTCTAAATGTTTTTCTTTTTCTTTTTAAAAGCTGTTTGCAAAAGCTATTTATTTATTTATTTATTTATTCATTCATTCATTCATTCATTCATTCATTAGGATTTATTTTTTTCTTCCCCGTCTACCTCCCCCCCTAAATGTTTTTCATTTAAACTTATGGCTCATTTTTTAGTTCAGTTGTATTAGGTGTGAGACATTTAGATTCAGATTTTTTTTTTTTTTGCCTCTGGATGCCCAATAATGGCTCAGCACCATTTGCTGAAAACAATATCCGTCCTCCATTGAACTGCTTCTGTGCCTTTGTCAAAAGTCGGCTGGCTATCCTTGTGTGGGGGTATTTCTGCCTTCTCTCTTCTGTACAACTGATTTATTCTTCTGCCAATACCACACAGTCTTGATTCCTGTAGCTATAGAAGAAGTCTTAAAACTAGGTGTTTAGAGTGATTCTTCCCACTTTATTCTTCTCTTTCAAAACTGCGTAGCTATTCTAGTTCCTTTGCATTTCCACGTAAATTTTGTGAGAATCTTATCTGTACCTACAAAAAGTCAGCTGAGATTCTGATAGCAATTATATTAAACCTGTATATCGATTTGAGGAGAACTGATGTGTTTACTATGTTATTTATTCCAATCTATGAACACCGTATGTCTCTCCATTTATTTATATTTTCTTTGATTTAGTTCATCAGCATTTTGTAGTTTTCATCGTACAAGCCCTGTGCATGTTTTGTTACATTTAGGCCTTAGCATTTAAATTTTTTAAACAACTGCAAATGGTATTGTATCCTAAACTTTGGTTTCCATGGGTTCATCGCAGTAGATAAGAATATAATTTTTTCGGAGATTAATTTTGTTTCTTGTGATTTTGCTGAACTCACTTATTAGTTCTAGGAGTATTTTGTACATTTCTTGGGATTTTCTATGTAGACCATGATGTCTTCTGCAAATACGGACACTTTTACTTTTTCTTTCTCTATCTGTATGCTTTTTATTTCTTTTTCTTGGTTTACTGTGGTGGCTAGGAATTCGAGAACTATGTTGAACGAGAGTGTTGAGTGTGGACACCCTTAAGTTGTTTTCAGTTTTAGGGTGAAAGCATTCAGTTTTTTACCAGTAAGTATGATGTGAACTGTAGATTTTTACTAGATCTTTATCAAGTTGAGGAAGTTCCTCCTCTATTTCTAGTTTTCTGAGAAAATTTTTAAGAATCATGAATGAATGTTAAATGTTGTCCAATGCCTCTTCTGCATCAATTGATGAGACCATGTGATTTTCTTCTTTATCCTGTTAAGATGATGGATTACGTGGATTCAGTTTTGAATATCGAACCAGTCTTGCATCCCTGGACTAAACTTCTCTTGCTCATAGTATATAACTCTTTTTATATGTTGCTGAATTCTCTTTGCTAATATTTTGTTAAGCATTTTTACAGCTACGTTCATGAGGGATATTGGTCTGTAGGTTTCCAGCACTGCCTTTGTCTGGTTGTAGTATCAGAGTAATATGGGCTGCATAAAATAAATTGGGACGTGACGTCCCATTGATCTTTCTGAATGTCTTGCCAGTTATTTCATAAATTCCTGGAGATAGTATAGTTGTTGGGTGTGGGTTATTTTTTGTAGTTACAAGCATGTAAAATTGGGAGAGGGCCTTTTGCTTTGTCAGGCTATTAAAAAACAAATGTTTGTTTAGGATTAAAAGTTGCTCAATGGAACAAAAATATTCACACTAATAGATAAAAGGAAACCTGGCGGCTAATGCATAAATCAGCTCCTTACTTACTAATAGATGGAAATAGTAGGAGTACCTTTAATATCTTGGTGCCACCGGCACATTGTTCACAAGAAACTCTCCAGCATGGAGTCTGAGTAACCCTCACTGAAACCGTAGCAATGTTTGGGACGTGACACATTTTATGCTATAGCAATTCATGCTTAAGTCTGACTTTAGCCATTGTAGAAAAGAAAGACTATGGTTCTTACAAAGTATCAAGACCCATCAAAGTATTTGGTAAAAAGAAACAAAATCCTAAATCAAAACATCCTGAGAAAAAGTTCACGCTTGCCCTTACCTCTCTTACTGATGTGTTCGTTGAAACCGAAGTGGAGAACGTTTGCTAGTTAGAGAGGTTCCGCGGCTGTGATTTCTGGAAAACGAACATTGAACGATAAACATCTCTTAATATCTTTTTAGCGTTTACGAAACAAGTACAAACCGCGCAAGAGGAAGACAGCTGCAGCTGCCGATTTCCAGAAGAAGAAGAAGGAGACTGCGGACTGTGAATACAGATCCCCAAAGCCGTTCGGATGCTGCTGAGAAGAATCAGAGGAGAAACAGAGCGATCCCACGACCGTCCTTCTAAACCAAAAGACGCGTCCTCCACAGCGCCCAGGATTCACCCCGACGCATTTCTTCCAAATGCTAATGAGTTAGCCTTTAAAAATGTACCACTTTTCACAGAACTGAAGACGAGACAGAGGTGGTGGTAAAAGGAACATTTTCTAGATACTGCTTGACAGGTTTGGGCTAGTTCTTTTGAAATCTAGAGAATTGTATTTTAAATTTAATCACGTAGACCGATAGTCCAGCTAAAGTTATAATCGAAATTAATTCGAGGTTTTGTGTGTGTGTGTGTGTGTGTGTGTGTGTGTGTGTGTGTGAGTGAGTGTGCACACTAATATGACACATGGCCATCAGCCACAAGGTGCAGGAAACATCCCCCAACCAAATTTTCCATTGGTTCAGTCATTTAACACAATGACCTCCTCTACCGTCAGGGGAGAATGACGACAGTGGCGAAGTTTTAGGTCAAGAGCAAAAACATCTCAGACCTTGAGGAAGTGTTTCGGAAAGAGTTCAAATGTCCTCGCATATGCTGTGGGCCTCTCCATCCTGGACTCTTCCGGCTTTGCCCTTCTCCCCTCCGAGCCAGGGCTGCTATGTTTTTTTGTTTTTTTGTTTTTGTTTTTTATTCTTAAATACTTTAAAAATAATATTTCATACATCTAAACTAATAAATGAAACAGGTATAAAGCAAAATCACAGAGCGAAGACCCATGAGCCACACCAGAGGGCTGGAGCGAGAGTTGCAGAATGCTCTTGGGTCATATCTGAGATGCCACGCATTTTCGTGTGGCTTTTGAGCTCAGGACGGATTTTACACATTTAAATGGTTTAAAGCAATCAAAAAAGGAAGCACATCTCATGGCATATACCATCATGTGAAACTCAAATTTCAGAGTCCATAAATGAAGTCTTACGAGAACACACAGCCACGCTTATTTATTTATAAATTATCAAAGGCAGCCCTTGCATTAAATAGTTGAGACGAGAGACTCTATGACCCATAAAGCCTAAAATATTTAATATCTGACCCTTTATAGGGTCAAAGTCAGGATCAGAGCATCTGTCCGGGTGTCGCTTCTCTCCTTCTTCTGCCCACCTTCCCACCCCACCTCCAGGCAACAAAAAAACTATCATTCCGCTTAAAAAGAAATCATTTATTACATAATTATGCACCCTAAAACTATTTTATTTCGTTCTGTTTGTTTTTCAGCTTTTTGAAAATGGTATTGTGCTGTGTGGAGACTTCTTTAACTTGCTTTAATGACCCCAAATTATATTTATAAGACTCATTTACATTGCTGTGTGTTGCTTAGAATGCATTTGTTTTAACTGCTGTATAATTTTGCAAATATACCGTAATTTATCAACTCATTTTCTGCCAAAGGACATGAGGGCTGTATCCAGGTTTTTTTCCAATTATGAACAGCATTGCTATGGATGCTCTTTTACGTGTTTCCTGGGTAAGAGGGTCTTTGGAGACATTTTCTTAGAGGGAAATTTCTGGATCGTAGGGCATATGAGTGTTCGACTTTATGAGCGAGTACCAAATCAGTTAGGATAAGCTCAATTATGCAGAAATAACAAATGACTCCCCAAATCTCAATAGATTACCACAAAACAACAGAGGTACATTTCTCGCTGTCATTACACAGCCATTGCAGGCTGCCTGTGGTCTGTCCCCTATGACTTCACTTGGGATTTGGGTAGAGAGAGCAGCTTCTACTTGGAACATTGGTCGTCTGGTGGCAAAGGGATGGATACGCGTTGCTCATACTCAGTTGGTTAGAGTCTAACCTTTAGAGTAAGTCATGCTACCACGCCGGGCGTTAATAGGGCATAAAGTGTCACCTTCGCACAGGGAGGGGCAGAAAATATTTCTAAACAATAAAAAGGCTACTCTGGCACCAAATTGCTTTCCAGAGCGGCCGTTGTAATTTCCGCTCTCATCAGCCAAGTCCAAGTGTTCCACTGACCCCATCCTTACTCCCTTCAGGCATCATCAGACTTAATTTTGCCCACCCTAATTGGTGTAAGATGGCAGCCCACAGTGGTCTTATTTTGCGTTTCCTTGATTCCTTATGAGTCTCTTGTCATTAAAGTCCTTTTAAAAAGCCATTTTTTTTGTGTGTGAAATGCTTGCTCATGATTTTTGCTCATTTTTAAAACTTGCTTGTTTGTCTTTTTCTTATCAATCCATGGAAACACTTTATCTATTCTAGATAACAATTGTTCGTCACTTATATGTGTTATAAATACAGGCTTTGTTTGTAATTTGTTTTTTTTCTCTTTTTAATTGTGTCTTTTGGGTAACAAGAGGGAGCGTGCTTAATTTAATTTGGTTGAATTTCCAACTCATCTGTTACATGGTTCACTTTTTTGTTTTTCCCTCATTGAAGAATTTTTTCCCTGCCCCAATATCATAAAGATATTGCTTCACATTTTATTCTAAATGTCTTAAGTTTCGTCTTTCATATTTAAGTCTACTCTATCAGGAATGATTGCTGTGAGTTAGTGATCCGATTTTGAGTATCATACATGGATCAGCACAGTTCAGTACCATTTATTTGATGATTCAGCTTTTCTTCCTGGATGGGTAGTGCTGCCTCTGACATTCATGCAGTTTCCATGTATTCTTAGGTCGGTTTCGGGCCCTCTATTCTGTGCTATTGGTCAATTTGCACTAGTTTTGTTACAGAAGCTTTGGAATAATTCTCGGTGCCTAGTAGGACAGGTTTTTAAGTCCTTCCATAAAGTTTTATACTATTTCTCCAGAAATTGTTTGTGCATTTTTGTTAGATTTCTAGGTCTCTTGTTGTTGTTTTTTTAGGTGGTTTTATTTGTTGTTGGAGTACAGAGGTGTAGTTGATTTGCTTATATTGCTTTATATAAGGCTTCTTGCTAACCTACTTTTCTATTGTTTCCAATAATATATATGTAGAATCTTTGCGGATTCTAGACATCATGTTATTTGCAATAACAACAGGTTCTTCCTTATCTAGTCCTTTGTATTTTATTCCTTTTGCTCAATGTACTGCTTGACTAATTGCCACAATCCCCAGTACAAAGTAGTCATCTGTTATTTTTATCGTATTTATGGGGGATAGTTTCAGGGTTTTTCGTTTGTTTCTTTGTTTGTAAATATATGATCGGGTTAAGAAGTTCCCTTCTATTCTCCCGTTCCTGGTTGTGAAGAGGTTTGGTTTTTATTTCTCAAATCTTAAATGAGTATTGCATTTTACCAAATGATTTTTCTTGGTGGGGGGAAGCATTTAGTTGCAGATGACGCAGCTGGTGGTTCTGTCATCTTTGACTTGGGTTTAAACTTTAGCAACATTCCAAGAAAATTGATACCTGAGACAAATGTAATGTAATCATAGGTGTTCCCGCCCTCTTCTTTAAAGGATGTATTTGCTTTTGCTTTGACGTATGACATAATCACAGGTGTTCAGAAAACATGTGCTTTTTTAATTGAACTAGATGAAGTAACTTCACTTGACTTTTCACCTTACGGACTTGGTTTTCTGGCAAGAATAAGAACTGTCATTAGTGCTACAATTCTTAAAAGTAGGAGGCAGAGCTTAGGGAGTTTCCCAGTGATACTTCAGAAACAGGGCTAGGTGTAACGTTCTTTTTTTTTTTTTTTTCATTCTTTTAAACCGCAACAGTATAAATTATAACACGGCTTCTCCTCCTGGCTTTGAACACCTGGTGTTTAACTCTCTATTGTCCCTTATCCACACACACAGAGGCGACGGTCATGCTCCAGAGGCTTAGGTCACCCGAGATAACTCCCCTCAACTCATTTGTCCCAGATCATAAGCCCAGAAAACCCAGTTTATTCTGCTTCTCTGACAGAGGCTGTGTTTATTACATAGAATGTATGATGTTTTTATCATAGCCGATTTTGGTATAATGTATAAAACTTATAAATGAAAAACACAGGAACTTGGAGTATGAGCCATCTTTCCCCCAAAACAGAAGTTAGCAAAGGAAGGCAAGCAAGGCAGAATAGAACGATCTTCTTTGGGAGTTAATTTAGGAAATCCAAACGTTAAGCTTAGTAGACACGAATGTAAATTTCTATGATCCAAATAAAAAACACACTTTGGGCATGGTTTTCTAAAAGCCTAAAAACAAGCTTAGGTTACTTCTGAAACAAATTTTGATTTTCTTCTCTAGTGGAAGATGTCACGCTGATGGAAACTTTTGATATGAGGGGTGTCGGGCTACTCAAGTGGGTGTCTGTCTTCCTGCCTGCAGGGTAAAGCTTTCCACTTGTGGGCGGGACCCACACATGGACCACAGTTGGGGTGACTTTGTGTGGTCTGTGTGTGGCTAGAAGAACGAGCATGACCTATGGGTTTTTTTTTTTTTTAAGACTGCTTAATAAAACACAAATCTATCATTTTCACAGAAAAAAAAAAAAGAATATCCTAGAAAAAAGATAGCTTATTTTTTAAAAAATGTCATTGTATGATGTGGCGTCAAATCATAAATGTTGATAACGAAATAACGGGCCAAGCTTTGTAAACGCTGGTAACATTAGTGTCAAGTTGTGTACGAGATTTAGAATTTGGGATTTGTTTTGCTCCCACCGAATGTCTTATTAGTCACATAAAGACGAATGCTGTTTTTATATTAATATTGATTCTGATAGCTGTATTTCAAATTAATAGTCATCGAAGCCTTTCAAACGTGTATTTTACAAATTCATCGACGAGGCTGACTCTGGCAGATCCATTAAAGGGTTTGATTGTGAACTACGAAAGACTCCTTCATTGCACTGCGAGCTCTGCCCTAGGCACCATGCGAGGACACAAAGATAGAAGACCCACCTGCCACCAGATGGCTTTGAGTCCGGAAGACTGACAAGTACAACCTGATAAGAGACACAATGTTACCAGGACCTACTGTGTGCCAGGAATGGACTGTGAAACAGGAGGTGAGGGTGCTGCCTCCTAGACCCTCCGGGCTGGTGAAGGGACAGCTGCGCAAGCGTCAGGGAGCCTGTGAGCTGGGTGGGGAGCATGCTCTGGACGTGGTGGGGCGCGGGGCTTCCTGGGGATGAGCAGGACATACTTGCTTAGGTGGTATGTTTCCCAGAAGGAGCAAAGATCCCAGACAAATGGGAGGGGGCGGGGCTGGGATGGAGGGCGATGACGCCTCCCCGTCAGCAGGGGCTAGATATCCAGCTTTTCTGAACTAAGCTAAGAAGCTGGGATTTTATACTGTGGATGCTGACTGGGAAGCCAGGGAAGATATTTGACTGGATTTCCATCTGAGAACGATCTCCCTGACTACAGTGAGGAGAGTGGATTAAAGAGATTGGGCTCACTTCCAGGTGAGAGACAGATAAGGTACCTGGCTGGGGCAGCTGGAGGGCAGTGGTGCCACCCGCAGAGCTAAGACCCTGGAGGAGGAAGGGGTCAATGCAGGACCCTGTGGGGTGTCCCAGGGGAGGGGCCACATGGTGGGGCGAGATGAGGGACAGGGGGAAAGTGGCCTGAAAAGAGGCTCAGGGCAGGGTCTCCAGAATCCAGCAGATGAGAGGCAGAACCATCAAAGGCTACCAAGAAGCTGGAGAGGTGACATAGATACACTAGGTTCAGCAATAAGGCAATCACCTTAATGAGAGCCCTTTCAGGGCCACGTTAACCTTGAAAGCCAGCCTGTGGGAGCCTAGGAACACAGGGGAAGTGACAGCGAGTATCCTCAAGCCTTTTAAAAGTGAGACAGTGAAGGATAGGAGATGGTGTGGGAACTGTGGGGGCCACATGGGGTCTCGGGGTATGGTCATCAGAGGAAATATGGACGCCCAGCTAAATGTGAACTGCAGACAAGCAATGAATAATTTCTCAGTATAAATAGGTCCCATGCAATATTTGGGATATGCTTTTGTTAGAAATTATCTGTTGTTTTTTTTTTTTGAAATTTGAATTTGCCTGACCGTCCCTTAGTTTTGTTTGCTAAATTTGGCAAACCTAGTTAAGGAGAAGTTTTTGGTTCTCTTTTGAGTGGAGAGACTTGAGCAAGGTGACTTCTGGATTTTAAAGACTAGAACGGGATCGTGAGGAGGCGGGGCCGGGTGCCCAGAACTAGGATGAAGTGCCGGGC